AAAAGGTTTGGCCTGACTCATTAGTGTTGCTATCAAACCTCTAGGAAGCATCTTACAGGAACATAGTTTTTTCAGCTTTTCAGTGGAAGTTAAACATTCTGGGAGTCCATTTCGTCTCTCTCTCTGTTTTTCATTTCTGATTGGGAACTAAAAGCCGCTGGACACGAAGGAACGTGTTTATGAAGAGGCGGAGGATGCGGAAACGTCTTCCTCGCAGCAAACACCTGTCATCCTCAAGTTGGCTTTAATCCGAACTCGGAGCTCTGAGGCCCTCCTCTTCATCCCTTTCTTCATCATGTTTGTTTGTTCAGCTGGCTGGGGCAAACTCCCTGCTTGCTGTATGCTCATTCACAGAAACAACCTCCACCTCACCGATGTACCATCCTCATCGCGGTGGCATGGCGCAGTTTTGTTTGACCTGAGCTTCCAGTGTTGGTCTTTTGTCCCGCCAGAACTGAATTGCTTGCGGAGCTTCGTGTGTTTGACTGGAGGGGAATGCTCTGCTTGAGTGCGCTGCCCTTTCAGATGCACTTCATTCACTTTGGGTTTTTTTCGGGTGGAGCTTTTCAGTCAACTTGCTAGTTTGGATGGCCCACTGGACCGCTACTTTATGCCATCTGGCACACCACTGTTACTACCCATGAACCGTCATTGCTTTACCGAGAGGATGTTCTAGAAGTTTATAATTCCCGCTTTTGTGAGTCAGAAGAAGTGTCGGATCTTACGTCACAGCGCTGTTTTGGTGGAGTCTTGGCAGGAATCATTGTCATTTCTGTGCTTTAGATGGTACATGAAACCACTGGTTTCTGTGGAGCACGCATGGCCGTTGGTGGAGCGTGGGGCCTGTGGAGTACAGTACTTGCCATCGAGACGAACCCGGTTGGTGGCTGATCTCTCTTGTTCGTTCGATCCCTGGTGCGGGGTACAGTCGATTCTTTTGTTTCGTGTTGTCTCTGTAGTGTGGTGAGTATTCACAGTCTGTACTTCAAGGACTGGCAGGTCACCGGTGTCAAAGCCCTTCACACCTGTGTCACGCGCACGAGTTGTTGTCCTCTCAGGTGTCAGTCTGAATTATCGCACTTATTGGCGTGTTTCCTCGTCATATCGGGTTCAGAACATGGTCTTCCAGCAGGCCATGTCGGGTTCGTTCTGTCAGCACCATGCGTACCTGCTCTCCCTCTTCCGAGCTGTTTCCAAACCCGATCATTCTAGCGGCATGCAACCCCACTGAATTCGTCGGCGCGACAGCCACTTTGTGAAGACACTGACATGCGTGTCGCTTTGTCCAGACAAGGCTGCCCGCGAGTTGCTTAAGAAACTGGTTAAATCTGTAATCAATAAGGACAAATACAAGCCGTCAAAACGTTAATACCTGACAAATAATTAAAATGCTCACGGTACGCGTTCCAAGAGCTGAACATTTATCACAGGGATCAGGAAATTGATGCTCTTTTTCTTTACAGGAGTTGCCCAGGGCTGAGAAGGATGACAAACGCTGGCCAGGCACAGAAGTTCGGCCTGCTGCTAGCCAAGGTGTTCTGTTCGGGTGGGCCGCCTACCAGCACCTTGTGCCTCTCTGGTGGCCAGTACAGCCAACTTGACACATTCTGAAGCAATGTGTTGTGATGATTGTCTAGATCTATGATATTGTTAGTCAGGTGGCCGTAATCGGGTGTATGGCTGAGGGACCACATTGATGGAAATTTAAATAATTAAACATAGTGACATACGAGGTGGCATAGCTGATGATGAGATCAAGGACAAGGACTGATCTCCTAAAAGGGTGAGCCATTGCTGTACAGGGTGTGGAGGTCGACAACTCTTGGTCCGAAGGGCCAAACGCATTGGAAGACGCGAGAGATCTGCTCCTTCCAGTCCGATCTCATAAGAATCTAGGGTCTAATGGTCCCCAAGCCTACCATATAGTTTGGGTTTTGCATAAGATTATTCACACATTATGCAAGTACAATTTACTTTCCCAATATAAGCGTTTATCAAATTAATAACATGGCT